TGATTGATGAAAAGAGGATGGTCGCAGTTTGTCACGGGCAGTTGTACCAACAATGAATGGCTCGTGCCTACAACAAGAAAGTGCGGCCTAGGAAATTCGAAGTGGGGCAACTCGTTCTGAGACGTATTCTCCCGTATCATGAGGAATCAAAAGGAAAATTTGCTCCAAATTGGAAAGGTCCGTACATTATAAGAAAATTGTTGCCGGAAGGAGCATTGTACTTGGGAGACATTGAAGGAAATGACCCCGAAACAGCTATCAATGCAGATGCGGTCAAAAGGTATTATGTTTGACCCTTTTCGCGATTTTAATACTCTCCGATTGGGATGACAAAGACTTTCATTCTCGCTACCCAAACACTACCAACCCTTGCAAACCCTTTGAGTCGGTTCTCTTTTCTTTGTTTACCCTCTTTGGAACCTGAAAATCATGTTAAAAAAAAACATATATGAATGAAAAGAGAAATATGAATGAAAAACAAAAGATGAAAAAATGAAAATGAAAAGAAAGAAAACAAAATAAATCAAAAACAAAAGTTCCTTGAACTACGTTCGACTTGATTCAGAAAGGATATGTGGCAGCCTCTCTTTGGGGTTCAGTCACACCAAAATAAAAATCCAAATTCCCCCAAAAGTTAAAACTGAGGCAGAAGTTACAATGACTCGGCGATGTGGTTCGCGTGAAAGGTTTCAAGGTTGTAATTCAATCCAAATTCTTTTTACCCCAAAACCTTGTTCAAGTCCTTCTGATCAATCGACAAAGATGTTCAACTTGGAGGATAGAGTTACTTGGATCTGATATAACAAAATGAGAGAGTCTTATTGGTGAAAACCCTCACGGGCACCGTAAGGCGATGGTAAGAAGAGAAACTAAAATGAGAGAGTCTTGTTAGTGAAAACTCGCAAAGAGCACTATAAGGCGACGGTGAGAAGAGAAATGAGAGAGGTCAGCTGGTGAAAACCCGAAAAGGGCGCCACTGATCGAAAAGGGGATCCTCACAGCCATCAACATCGACAGAGCCCTGGAAAGGTTTCTCAATTTTGAGGTATAGGTTATGATGAATTTCTGAGAGTTGGACGGTTTACACAAATCAGGCATCCAGTCCAAAAGGCATGTCATGTTCATTGAAGTGCGCATGCACTTCAGATAAGTCCTTATTTCCTTTCCCCGAAAGGGATACCTCTCGTCTAAGTTCATTTGTCCATTTCATTGTTTGCTTTTCTTTGAATCCCTTTCGGTCTAATTCTATTCTGAAACAAAGACAACGAAAGGATGGCAAGATTGATTTATAGGCTTTTTGTCTGATACGAGCCAATATTCAAGAAGGCACCCAGCCTCGGCAGGTGCATCAAGTTGACCCCGACTGACCATGGTGGCCAATGCTCCAAAATTGAAAACTTTCGAAAGAAGGAAATCAAATTGAAGTGCCTACGAAGGCAAAATGAAGTTGAAAAAGGTTAAGTCCTACGCGACTAGCCATTGCGGCAAAGTTTGAGGAGCCAAAAGTTCCCCAATGCTCCGAAGTTAAAAATTGAAAAAACAAAAACAAATCAGAAGTGAAAGGCCTACAAAGGCAAAATAAATTCGAAAAAGGTTGAGTCCCACGGGACCAACCGTCATGGTAAAGTTTTGAAAAGCCCGAGGTTCTCCGAGATTAGAAATACAATCGGTATTCAGAAAATATCCAGTTGCAGCTAAAAGGGTCGAGACCAAGTGACTGAAACAATCAAGGCCACAAAACCAACCACCGTTTCAAACTGACAAAATTTTCTTTATTTGAAAAACAGGAAATAGGTGCTATCCAAAAGCAACTTTGCAAGAAGCAGGTGCAACCAAAAAGAAATTGCGCAAAGGCTAGAAACAGCTTTGTAGCAACCACTCCAAAAGGGAAGTCTCCTCCAAAATTCTTTCCTGCATTTCCTCATTATTTGAAATAAAAAAAAAAGAAAAAAAAGAAAGAAAGTTCCAAATCATGGTAGTATAGGGTCTCCAATCCCTAGCTGCGTTTTTCCAACATAGGGTCTCCACTCCCTAGTTGATGTTATTTTAGATATAGGGTCTCCACTCCCTAGTCACTTTTCCAACANTTTTAGACATAGGGTCTCCACTCCCTAGTCTCTTTTCCAACATAGGGTCTCCACTCCCTAGTTGATGATTTTCCAACATAGGATCTCCACCCACTGTTGATGATATTTTAGACATAGGGTCTCCACTCCCTAGTCTCTTTTCCAACATAGGGTCTCCACTCCCTAGTTGATGATTTTCCAACATAGGATCTCCACCCACTGTTGATGATATTTTAGACATAGGGTCTCCACTCCCTAGTCTCTTTTCCAACATAGGGTCTCCACTCCCTAGTTGATGATTTTCCAACATAGGATCTCCACCCACTGTTGATGATATTTTAGACATAGGGTCTCCACTCCCTAGTCTCTTTTCCAACATAGGGTCTCCACTCCCTAGTTGATGATTTTCCAACATAGGATCTCCACCCACTGTTGATGATATTTTAGACATAGGGTCTCCACTCCCTAGTCTCTTTTCCAACATAGGGTCTCCACTCCCTAGTTGATGATTTTCCAACATAGGATCTCCACCCACTGTTGATGATATTTTAGACATAGGGTCTCCACTCCCTAGTCTCTTTTCCAACATAGGGTCTCCACTCCCTAGTTGATGATTTTCCAACATAGGATCTCCACCCACTGTTGATGATATTTTAGACATAGGGTCTCCACTCCCTAGTCGCTTTTCCAACATAGGGTCTCCACGCCCTAGTTGATTGATTTTTAGACATAGGGTCTCAACTCCCTAGTTGATGATATTTTAGACATATGTTCTCCACTCCCTAGTCTCTGTTCCAACATAGGGTCTCGACTCCCNATTTTAGACATAGGGTCTCCACTCCCTAGTCGCTTTTCCAACATAGGGTCTCCACTCCTTAGTTGATTTTATTTTAGACATAGGGTCTCCACTTTCTAGTCGCTTTTCCAACATAGGGTCTCCACTCCCCAGTTGATTGATTTTTAGACAGAGGGTCTCCACTCCCTAGTCTCTTTTCCAACATAGGGTCTCCACTCCCTAGTTGATTGATTTTTAGACATAGGATCTCAACTCCCTAGTTGATGATATTTTAGACATATGTTCTCCATTCCCTAGTCTCTGTTCCAACATAGGGTCTCCACTCCCTAGTTGATACTTTTCCAACATAGGGTCTCCACTCCCTAGTTGATTTTATTTTAGACATAGGGTCTCCACTCCCTAGTCGCTTTTCCAACATAGGGTCTCCACTCCCTAGTTGATTGATTTTTAGACATAGGATCTCAACTCCCTAGTCTCTGTTCCAACATAGGGTCTCCACTCCCTAGTTGATTTTTATTTTAGACATAGGGTCTCCACTCCCTAGTCGCTTTTCCAACATAGGGTCTCCACTCCCTAGTTGATTTTTATTTTAGACATAGGGTCTCCACTCCCTAGTTGTTTTCCCAATATAGGGTTTCCACTCCCTTGTTGACTTTATTTTTATTTTTTAGATATAGTGTATCCACTCCCTAATCTCTGTTTTCCTATGGTACACCATTCCCGATCTTTTATTTCTTTTAATAGTGAAGTAATATAGAGTTTTCTTACAAATAACTCACGAAATTTTCCTAGTGAAAAGTGGGGCAGAAATATTTCGTTCGTTCGTTTGTTTTGGGTGTCTGAGCAGGTTTTTACCTCGAGGCACAAGATTCGAGACGACCAAAGGAAGAAGTCTCAATCCAGAATAAAAAAGAAGAAAAAAAAAGTAATGAATCCAAAATGCATGAAGCGGATGAAAAGATGTGAACTGCTCAAGGCATGACTGAAGTCACGAGCATCGCATATCCCGTTTTGATCAAGAAAAGTCGTAGAAGAATGAACTAGCACCTACAACTGGCAAAAATTAAGATTCAGGTCAGAGTCTGTGTGGGAAACCAGCCAAGACTCAAGATCAAGCTTCAGAAGACTTATAGATAAGAATCTTGTAACTCATAGCTGATAGGCTTAGTTAGTCTTTTTCATTTTTGACTTTGGTGTAATAAGGAGCTCAACAAGCAGCAACAACAACAACAGTGAAATCACAGTTTTTCCGGTAGTCCCAGCTACCAAAACTTTCAGAACTACACCGACCTGATTCCTTTATAGCCAAGGGTATGTAGGCAACCTCCGAAGCAAGGTTCGGTCAAACTTTTTAAAAAATGCTTCCCATGGAGTGTCAAACGGGCAAATATTGCTCGTAATTGCTCACTTTATTTTTGCTAAAAAATTATTCATGTTTCCGAGCAAAGAGGGGCAGCTGTGAGCACGTAATTTTTACCTCACCAAAAACACTCCTATAAAATCCAAAAAAATAAATATTTTCTAATTGTTTTAATTTTTCATAGAATTTCTTGTCAATTATTGTTTGCATTTAGTTGCATATTTAATATCTTAAAATTATGAGAAAATACCAAAAAATATCCAAAATCTTCATTGCATAACATTTTATATTTTATTTATATTTTTAGGATTTAACTACGTTTATTAGTTGCATTTTTAAATGAAAATCACATAAAATACCATGGTCATTATATATTTTTAGCTTTTAGTCTTAATTTATTAATTTTCTTTCATTAGTTTTTAGTTAATAAATTATTTAAATATTATAAATAGTAAGTTGCTTAATTTTACAAATTAGATTTAAGTTAGGATTTAGTTTAGTGTTTTATTTAATTTATTTAGGATTTAAAATCAAAGAAAAGAAACAAAGAAAGGAAAACAAGGCTTTTGTTTGTGTTGGGCCAAGCACCTCAGAGGCTCAAATTGGGCATATCTGCCCAGTCCACACCAAATACCCACCCAGTCCGTTTTCCCCTCATCAAAATAACCAAACGATCCCGTTTTATTATCTTTCAATCCCCACCCTCCATTCTATCTAATCCAACGGTCCACAATTAACCCCTTCCCCCTTATAGCTGTCCGAACACCCCCAAACCCTCAGGAACCCCTCATTTCTGTTCATCTTCTTCAACCCTTCTAAACCTAGCCGCCCTAAAAATCCCAAACCCTACTGGCCGGCGGCCACCACCCCAATCACGCCCAAATTCACACCCTATACTCCTTACCTTACCTTCATCATCAGTCTACCATTAATTTTTCAAAAAGCTCCGCCAAACTTGTCGATTTCCAAATCCAGAAATTACTTGAAATCCAAGTTCGCTCCTTTTCCGTTTGGTCGTTTGAGTTCGAAATCGACATTAGTCGATTGCTCTTGATAAGAGCAATCAATTGATGGCAGGTTTTAACTCATCGCCTGGCCATCGGAGTCCAGCCAGAGTTTATCACCATCATTGTTAGCCATTCTTGCCTCAATCACTGTTTCCCTTAAAGGTAAATCAGCACATCTCTCTTCTCGTTCTTCCCCATTCTTTTGTTGTTTTTATTTTCTTTTGATAGATTATTTAGGTTTTAATTTTAATTGCATGCTTAATTAGAATAGTTAATGAATTGATTTAGTTAAGTTTAGTCAAATCTTGTTTGCATCTTTGATTATAATTAAAATTCAAAATACAGCATGTTATTCTGTTTTTCTTTTTGGGCTTTTCTTTGAAGCAAGATTTGTTCTGTCTTAGGCCATTTGTCCATGTCATTTGGCCCAGACCTAAGTAGATATTCTACTTTTAGAAGGTAGCAGCTGGCGATTTTTCAGTTAAGAAAATATTCGCTTCTCCTCTCACATTTCCTGATTTCACACTGACAAAATTCCTTCTCCTGACAGACCCTCTCTCATTTTTTTTTCATTGCATATATACACCCTTCACACACACACAAAAAAGAAAGACATTCAGCATTCCTCTCCTATACACGCACGGATATACACTGGAATTCTCTAAAAAATTTCAGAATCCCCTCTTTTTTTGTGCACTGATTTCTCAAAAGGGACTCTCTGAAAATTCCAAAAAGGTTTTCATAAGTTATTCTCTGCTTGATATGCTATTCAACTACTGGTTTCTTCAAGGCGGTGTCAAATTGTTGAAGAAAATCTGTTGCTGTTCATTTTCTTTGCTGGAATTTCGAATCTCATCATATAGTTTCAGATCTTTGCTTGTCTTATCTAGTTGATTTTATGCACTTAGGTACGTTTTTGTTTACATTTTGTAGTCATCAACTTGAATGGATAATTGCAAATTGGATGTTTTACATACTTCATCATATTTTTAGTCTGTTGTTCAATACTGATTCCTTATAGATGTGTGGATGTTCGCTTTACTGGTATGAATTGAATGTTTTACTTGGTTTTGTGTTGTTTAAATTTGGTTTTATATATCCAGTGTGTTTTAGACTGTTTAGTATTCATCCTTTGTTGATTTTTGTTTTGCATCTGTTGAAACTAATTTAATTTGTTAAAAATGCAGTATTAATCAATTCATTATCTTCTATAGCCTGTTATTGTCTAACTAATGATTTGTGCTTAAAATGGTATTGAAATATGGCGGATGGATGGATTTGACCACAAGTTGGTCGGAGTCATCTCTGAAGAAGCCAATACAGCACTCTAAATTGCAGAATTACATTGTGTATTGGTTTCATAGCTTTTCACAGAGTTAACAGCTTCAGATTTCGATGACTAGCTATAGAAGTTGGTGTGAGTTGAAGTGAAGTTCATTGACCATATTTGCTAGAATAGCTATTACTGACATATTTGAGTGACAAATTTAGTTATAAGAGATTGGTGTTGTAATTAGAATTTGAACCATCCATATATATTCATGTTGGGATTATGCTTAAATTACTATGTTTTTCTTTCAATAATAGATGAAACTTTGAGTCATTAAGTTTGTCCTTAGTTGTTAGGCCTAAATATTGGCCCAGCGAAGCTTCGAAACTATTTTGGAGTCCTAAAAGACTTTGGACCAATGATCAAGTCTATTCCTGGGCTCACTCAATGAGCCCGTGGCCTGTTCTTTTTTAAGGCAGAAGACGTGTTAAGCTATAAATTGAAATTCATTTTTATATGTACTTGAATTGCTAGAAGTCCAATTTGAGTGCTTAAATTAATTTCAGCTTGTACTAATTTTCGCTTTAAAAAATCCATATAAACTTGATTAGCTGAAAGAAGAAATATAACTTAATTACAGGTTGCCATTCATCGACCAATGGGATTCTTTTTATGCAATACGGTTAATCCCCAGAACTTTCTTCCCCCAACTCTTCTATCTTTGTAGCGTAGCAGACCTTTGGCCTTCTGAAATAGTATGAGCCCAATGAATGAAATTTCATAAACTCTTGACGTTCACACGTAATCCCAAAATATAGGAAGAAATATTTCATAAATATCGTAGTTTGCTTTAGGTGCGTTTAAATAAATAATCGTGACTATGGGTATGGTTCCCGTGGCATAGTCATGACATGTAATCCCCAATTCGAGTGCACATTTCATGTGACCCGACCCTAACTTCAAACAATAATAAAAATAAACATGTTGTAGATCGTGAGTATGGCTCACGTAACGCGATTTGCAATATGTACAAAAATAAATGAGTGCGCGACATCGCGGCTTGTTCAAACAAAATTTCATAAATCCCAAAAGTAATTAAAATTCTATTAAAAGCGGTCAGAAAGCTAAAAAGCACAATATGTTTTAAATATGTAATAAATCAGATAATTGGGCCAATTAATAGTTGAGTGATCGTGCTAAAACTACGAAACTCGGGAGTGTCTTACACCTCCCGGGTTAACAAAATTCCTTACCCGGTCTTCTGATTTTCGCAGACTTTTAAACAGAGTCAAATTTTCTCGATTTGGGATTTAAAATAAACCAGTGAATTGGGACACCATAAATTATTCCAAGTGGCGACTCTGAATTAAATAAATAATCTCATTTCGAATAATGTCACTTTAATTGGAAAAACTTCCCTATCCCCTCGAAAAAAAGGAGGTGTGACAATTAGTAGAATACTTGCCTTGCATTTCTAAAGGAATACCAGAAGGCCTATTTCCTTCCTCTATCTCCGCAGTAATGTCTTCATTATCATAATTGTTGAATTCCTTATCAGTAGAAGAATGTCGTCGGATGAAATAATGTATAGCCATGGTAGTTGTAATAAGATGATTCTGAGTGTCAAACTTGAAAGATGACATTGAGCGTAAAATAGAAATTAAATATATAAAAAAATATTGTTTTCGTAAAAAGTATGTCTAAATTCAAATTCAAAAAGACTAACTAATTATTAACAACACATCATATATAACTTAACTCAACAGCTTTTTCATGCTTCGTTGATCCACTTATGGTGAGGATGGTCAGTTTAAGGGTTGGATCCAGTTCAATAGCTACAGGTTCCCGTGAACTAATAGCTTTTGTCTAGAGCCTGTATTTGTATTGAAAAATTCATTAAATATATAAGAATATTTAGTTTGGAACCTAGTCCGTTCATCCATTTAGTATTGCATATTAACTCGAAAGTTTTGTAGGAATCCATAAACCTAAAATCCTGGATCCGCTTCTAAACTTTTGCTACATGAATTGTAATTGTCCGTGTCACTTCATTTAATCTTATCTTAGTCTAATATGATTGAAAATTAGTAATCTCTAAACAAAACGAAACAACTTTTAGCGAACATTGAACCAAAAGTAAATGTAGTAGCATGATTAAAATTTAACCCACATTAGGTGATATCAACAAGTATATATTCTTTATAAATATAAAATTAGGAGAAGAATGACTGGCACCAACAAAGTTTGTGAGTAATTATTTCTTGGGGATGTATGTTTTAAAGGTTGGTTTGCATGTAATAGTAGTTTTCTGGCCGGGGCTATCTTTAATACTTCCTCCGTTACCATTTATTTGTCATGTTCGCTTCACTATAGTCCATTGGACTAATGTTTGAAGCTAAATTAAATTAGGTTATCTTAATATTCTACAATTAAAATTTAGATGCTCGAAAATTATTTGAAAAGTATTATAATTTACCATTCTTCTCATATTAATACGTGAAAAAATGCATATTAAGATGTTGGTCAAAGTTCATGTAGTTCGTGAAGGATTGCATATATATGTTCGTAACATGCAGCGAAAGACAATAACAATCCTAGGTAGATCTTTCGTGTTTAAAATGTATTTACATGTCAAGATCAGATCTAAAACGTACCTGGCGAAGAGAGTCTCGTTTTAAAATTCTTCGATAGTGCGAAAACTCTATGCGTATCCACATCGAGACCAATCCTTGCTATCAACTTTTTGATCAATGAAACATGCGAACAAATTGAATAAAAATATTTTGTCGAAACTTTTCTCAAAATTCTTAACTCAAAGATAGAAGAACAAGAAACACTTTTCTTGTAATTGTATTTTCTCTCTTGACTTTGTATTGCAGTTTCACTTTCACAAAGTGGGTTTTCTTCTCAAGACTTAATCCGCCAAATTTTCTCCATCACCTTTTATATAGCATCACCTATAAACTTTTTTCCTATTTGGTTGAGGTAATGATTTACTTAGAGTAAAAGTTTACTCCAAAAATAAACTTCAATCGAAATTTATGGAAAATTGGAAATCACGTCTTAATGAAAACGTGACTGCCGAACCATTCCTCAACTCAAAGTTAGATTCTCGTCAATCCAACTTAACNTTTAAGGATACGCGGATTAACTTGATACAAAGTGATAAATTAAGTTGCAATTGAAATAAACAATTATAAAGTAAATTCAAACCACACGAATTAGATAGTTTCAATCTCGGAAGATTAGCCACTTTCGAGCCAGATGCACTTTGATCGGTATCACGATACAGAAGAACAAGAGCTTAAAGAGAAAAATAACAATGTGTTACTTTGGAATGTGTGTTACAATGTGTTAAATAAATTATCAGACCCCCTTTATATAGTAGGGGAGTCTTACTTTAGGTACAATTCTATAAAAGGTAAAAAATCTCTTGATTTGCCGATTGCCAGTTCCTCATTGATACGTGCTAAAATTTTCGCCGTAATATCCGACCGGTCACGGATATTTCGGTCTTCTGTTATGCTAACAATGTTTCTTCGACCTCGTTCAGGGCTAGGATCTATTCCGGGATCACGACCTCGATATTCTCGAAGGCGGGCGTTCCAACCCTGGAATCTAGCCCGGTGGGATTTAGGGTCGACCTTCAGTTCTTTATTGCCATGTTCTGAACCTGTCCTACCATGTCGTAGGCGAGCTCGATTTCGACCGTATACAAATAGTACCCTCGTTTTTCGGAGAGTAGACGACGAGAAACGATATGAGCTTCCGGTTCTTACTTCGATACCCCGCGATAGAATCGAAAAAACAAATGAAATGTCTCGTCAGTCAAGTCTTAATGGAATTAAATGCATGTTAGCCGCCGGTCTGCCATTACTGGATGTGAACCGCCACTGAAATACTATAAATACCTCTTCCTTTGTTCATTCCAACTTTACATTCAAACCATCTACCCTTGTACCTTCGAAATTTCAATACTTTCTAGCAGTTATACTTTGGTTATTTGAGATCCTTTGCAAGAACCCTTGTTCATTTCCATCTCAAGCCATCAAGTGTACTCCTTTAACTTCCTCTTTTTTCTCATTTTCCCTCCATTTTCAAAGAAATGGCGAAGATTTCAAAAATCGTTCCCCAAAAAAAAACTTATTCTACCTCGCGGTCGGCTACCGAGTAGACTGTTTCACGTACTGCTATCGAGGAATCGGTACCGAAACCCCCATTGAAAATGTTCGTCCCTGGAGGATGCTCGGTAACCGCCGATTTCAAGGTTGAAAAACCTTCCCCCGTAAGAGGCCGGTGTGAGGAGGTCTCGAGATACATATGCTCGATCACTGAAGAAGTCCTCCCTACGGTCAAAAAGGATTGCAATTGGGTTGACAAGCACGTGGTGGTTCCCGGACCCGATGAAGACATCACCACCCACGTCGAGGGATACTTAAGTATTTACACTTATCCCTTTACACTGGGCCCATTGATCCGGTCATCATTGACTTTTGCAAAATATACGAGGTATGCCTTGGTCAAATTCTCCCCTCATTTTGGAGAATCGTGATCCTTCTTCGGTTCTTCGTGAGCAAGATCGATGGATGCTCGTTCACCGTCGACCACCTCATGCGCCTATACAGTCCCCGAATCTTTCGGGGGGACTGATCAAGCTCGCGCGTCGGGCCAGCAAAGCCCCGTTCTCAAGTATTGATAAAGATCGGGATCGAGGCTGGCTAGGCCATTTCGTCTGAGTGAGGACCTCAGACTTGATCCCAGCTGAGCGCATGCCGTTCCCCGAGAAGTGAAATATATCACGTAAGTAAAATTTCATTTTCAAAATTTTATTTTACACTTTTTTCCTTCCTTCTTATCGGTGCTTTGTAGTGGTGCAGCTGTCGCTCGGGTCCCGAATATAGTCCCTCGACTCAAGGAGTGGGTCGAGGGCATCGTGTTACAAAGAATATATTTCGAGCGATCATGGCGCAAACTTTCGAAGGGCCGGTGGGAGGCCCGTTCTCATGGTGAGATTCCCTTCCCGAGTAGGTAATATTTGGGTTCCTCTCGTGTCATTAAGTTCTCACTTGTTTCATTTCCTTTGGCAGTTTTATCCAAGGACGTCACACTGAGGCCTCCATACGGTGGCAAGAACTTCTCCGCCGAATACCCTGCTCCGAGACAGGATGACGATAAGAAAAGGAAGAGGGCTCCGAGTTCTTCGAGCTCAGAGAAGAAGAAACCAATGAGAAGTTTGGTGCGCAAATCCAAAGAAAGCACAAGCGCTCGAGCACCATCTTCGGATTCACTCTATCGGTTGAGTGATGAATCTGAAGAAGAAGGAGAAGCCTTCA